TTATTTACTTTAATCAATCTATTAAGATAAAACAAAATCGAACTCACATTTCAGTTGCTTTGATTCTGATACCTTGCAATCATCTACCCAAATAGAAATTAATAGCTGGTGTTGAAGTAAATTGATACTAGGTTAGGCGTGTTCAAACTAAAACGTGATATCAGTCCATAAAGCAATTGACTATTGATCTGAGCTATATTAGTATATGTAGACTATTTGATTAGAGTGTGGTCCACGTGATAATTGTGACCACTGATCAGGAATCTTGAGTAACATGACTCCGAATCGATCATAATGACACAAATCCATTTACCTTTTATCTTGAGATCCAGTATCCCTTCATGCATAACGTTTCCTTCCTTCTTTCCTAACCATATTCGTGATTCTTAGTCTTTCTTATTATCATTGCTACTACATTATTTCTACTTGTTCAGTATTTATCTTGTCGTGCTAATGTGGCATGGTGAATTGGTTTAACACAGATTAGCCAGACTCTGTGTTGATGATCACCAATCAAATGATCAGATATTTGAGTGTCGCTAGCCCTTTACAAAGTCAGAATCTTCAATACGAACGTCAGCACAGTTAGTTCTGCTGTACGGAGCTGAAACGTGGAGAATTACTACAACCATCATCAAGAAGGTACAAGTATCTATAAATAGATGTCTACGCAAGATACTCAACATCCATTGGTCGGATATCATCAGCAACAGCCTTCTGTGGGAGAGAACAAACCAACTTCCAGTCAGAGAGGAAATTAGGAAAAGACGATGGAAATGGATGGGGCATACATTACGCAAATCATCAAACTGCATCACGAGGCCAACCCTAACTTGGAATCCTGAAGGGAAGTGGAAAAGAGGAAGGCCAAAGAACACATTACCTCGGTAAATAGAAAGGATGAGTAAAAACTAGAAAGAGCTGGAAAGAATTGCCGAGGATAGAGTTGGATGGCGAGTGCTGATGGGCGGTCTATGCTCCTTCAGTAGGAGTAACAGGTTTAAGTAAGTACACAAATCAGTTTAGCTCAAAGTCATGTGTATCAATTTCTTATTTAAGTGACCTAGTAACCTTTTTAATCTTCAGTCACATTACATGATTAATACAAGATTAAGATAATATCATTGTGTTTATGTTTCTGTATAGGTGAAGGTGATATGGCCGTATCAAATGCAGTAGGTAGTAATGTATTTGACATATTAATTTGTATGGGTTTACCATGGTTAATTAAATCAATCATTTCTCAAGCGCCAATTGTCATCTATTCTAGAGGTTAGTTGTTTCCTTAGTATAATGTAATTTTCATATGTATACAGTAAATAGTTATTATTAGTTGAATAAGAACTGTTTTGGCTGAGAATTTCTTAACTCTGATTCATATAAATTAACATTCTTATCTCGAAATGTTCCTGATATTCAAATGCAAAGTCGTATCATTGATAGAATTCATAAACAATGAGAAATAAAGAGTTATTATCAGCACCGTTGGTTGATTTATGGATTTTATTGCTTCGAATATATTTTTTAAATCGGGCCTCAAAATGCTCTGACATGGCCATATGCATACAACCACTGCTGGAGAAGTTTTACTCACTGTCTTCTCGCAGCATTACTTTTGTTTATGAAATTGGGAGGACGAAAAGCGAGTGTTCGGTGCTTTAACCGGGTTGGTGCATATGGAGCATCCATGTAAGGGAGTTGGAAAACCCTCATTAGTGCACGTGGGTTACAGGGTCCAGAGGGAACGAAGGGCGTATGAACTTATTGTTGGTCATGTGACTGCATCTACTGACATTGCTCCGCTGCCTTGTGGATTAGACCTTTAGGACAAGAGGCTCCGGGTGTGCCACCTTCCCCAAAAACCCGCCTGCTTCGGTCTGTGCGCAGGGGCAGTATTCCAGTTGATCAAAGTTCATGTAAGTTATGACCGATTGAATTTAACCATTATCAAAAGTAAAACAAACAAAACAACCCGATCATATCGATAAAAGTTGACATTTATCGAAATAAACCCAACATAGTTGAACTCTGTAACTAATTACCTCTTTGAATTTATTTATTTGTTTAATCACATATATATTGGTACAAATAAGCACTGAATACATATGCGCCACACAAGTTACTTGATTTGTGTATAGGATGTGACACTTCCCGGGTGTTCACATCGAAGTAAGTGGTTTTCTTAGGGGGGTCACATCCGGTACTTTTGACTTAAAGGTCTAATCCATAAGTCATTGAAGCAACGTAACTGGTTATCAATATTTGGCTCATACGGCTTTTGTTCACCATGGAGTTTATGTACACTATTGGTTTGGAATCAGTGTTTTTCAACTGTCCTAAATGGATCGTTCATCTTCACCAATTCGGTTACATCTCCGAATATTCGCAACAAGACTTCCATTGCAATGACTGTATACGCGTAGCTATATATGAGAGCATTTCTAAAAGGACAGTGAACTCTCCGCTACCTTCAACCCTGACCTGATTGTTAGTAGTATTGCTAATTCATCCACAAAAGTTCAATACTTATTAGCTTTAAATGATTAATTAACCATGTCATTCAATGAAATAAACTATATAAAATTTAACAATACGAATACATACATTTACTAATACCTTCTATTCTTTTTTATTTTGTTTTAATCATTGACATAGGTTTATTATATTCAACATTGACTTTATTTACAACAGTCATTTATCTTTTAATTGCAACACATATTAATCGTTGGCGTTTAACTAAAATTTATGGTTATGCATTACTTATTGGTTATATCATTGTACTTGTATTCTGTAGTTTATATGAATTGAATTATTTTGGAACAGTACATTTACCATCTTGTCCATTAAATGAATGAATGAATTGGACCTATTCATTCATATATATATATAATACATATACATATATTCATGTCATAATATGAAAATAGGGTTATCTATATAGATGAAGTTTCCTCAATGAATATATAAGATGTTTTGTACTACTACTACTATTATTATCATTAGTAGTATTACTTCATTCTCCTATGGTTTGTTTTGTTTCCCTCATTTGTCTACTTTATTACAATATAGTAGTAATAGTCAAGAGTTATTTCTTTGTCTCTCTCTCTCGCTCGCTCGCCATGGTATTCCAGCATTTTTGTTCAATGCTTTCTCATTATTCAATAAAACATTTATTAATGCATAATCAAAAATATCACTTTTATTTATTTGTAAATCAAATATAAAACAACAACAACAACAGCAACTTTGTTAATTATCCTTCTTTTAATTCGTAATCAAGCATTATGTTGTCAATGGTACCCCACCCCCCATTTCCCTCTGTGTGTGTGGGTGTTATTGTGTTGGGTTAATTAGGGTCATCATCATCATTATATTATTACTATTTTTCAGTTTTTATTTCCAAGCATTTTAATTGGGATTTTTACTTCATCAAATGTTCTGAGTTGAAATATATATTTCTATTCTATAGTATATGATTTACTTATTTGTTCATTGGGACAATACAATAATGATTGCCTATATTTTTGATTAATCTAACCAAAACAAAGGGAAAATTATGCGTTGAGAATTGTTTTAGTCAGTCAGCTACAACATAGGATCAGGTACATATATGCATCGCATTAGCACAGCAAGATGAACACCGGATTCGTAGTAGTTAAGTCAATGGTATTAATATATAAAAGAAAGATTATGTATAAGGACATAATACAGGAAGAAAGATATAAAGCGATTTTAACCTCTTAGTTTAAGGGAATAGTTTAAAAGTTATTAGAATATTCCTGAACCACCCAAATGCCCCTTGGTACGATCGAGAGTGGAGAGTTCATTCTCCCTCTCGAACGGCTACGCGAATGTCCACCTTTTTAACTGGTTTGATAGATATGAAGAGTCTATCTATGTATTCGATGCCTCTTCGTACTAATATTTATGTCTTCAAATAAATAGAACACTCCTGGAAAAGGATAAATGAGTGGTGACATTGGAATGATTATGAATACAGTGGTCTTGAGTGCTGTTAGAGGTATGAGGGCAGTTATCACTTCACGGTTGCCCGCACCGTGGAAGGGTTCTTCTGGAGGTTCCTGAAAAGGAAATGGGAATAGACGTGTTCATAGTGACCTGAGAGGGTGACCGCAGTGCCCAAGCGACAGCTGCTTGAGGTCGGTTACACACGACCTTTTTATGTTAGCTCCGTACTTGTTGAGACCTTACCTCCGGAGACGGATATCCGTGGTATAAGGCGAGGGTCGACCATTTCTAACCCCACCCCTCTTTGTGGGAAGGCAGCATCGCTGTTATGCTAGTTGTCTGAAGGAAACACCTCACTCCTGTCACACCTCTGTAAAGTCAGCAGTACGAATTCGCCTTCGGACCTTGGATTTGTTGCATTTAGTCTTATCACTCTTCAACTGACCAGTCTGATATGGTAGGACGTTGACGACCGATTGTTCCGGCTAGTATAGCAACAACAGACAGGTTGGTATTCGCTAGGTCATTAATCCATTTATTATAGCCTATCTGTACTTAGATCTTTCTTACTCGTTGTACGACTCGGAGGACATCATATGGATTATCTGACGGTCCAACATATCTTCAACTCACAATGATGAAATGCTACTCTTGCGGGATCATCAATATGTGTATGATGATTGGTAATTTACACACAAAACAAGGTCATTGCTACAAGCTTTAATGAGTACATACAACAAGTGAATATCATTATCCTCGAATGAAATCGATCAACTTATTCAAGACATATTGGGATTGTTTACAAGTTAAGATCATGAATCGATTGATATTAGACCACCATTGAAAACCTAGATCGCCGTTTCGTCTTATTGTGGGATTCCTCAGCAGTGCAAGAAGAAAAAGAAACAAAGAAGAATCTCATTGCATTTAACACAAACTTTTCTTTTTAAGTATAAAAATAAACATAGAACATCAATAACTAGACAAAGGGATACATATACATCATAGAGTTTTCATTTTGATAATTATAATCAATTTTTAGAAAATATCCATGCAACATTTAAACCTGATGGACCAAGTGATATAGATCTATTTAAAGAGAAATTAAAAAACAAAACAACAACAACATTTAGACTGTGAATCTGGATAACATATGTACAAATTTAATGAGGAATATTGATTCTTTTAATATTTAGGTACAGGATATTATATGGTGTAGGCGAGATATCCGTCTATCAATCAAAGGGCGTGTTTACTGCGCAGCAGTTCGTCCCGTCCTAATTTATGGCAGTGAAACATGGCTGTTAACAGTAGAGGATATTTGTAGGTTACTAGTATTCGATCATAGATATCTTCGAAACATTGCTTGTATATCCTGGTACGACCGAGTAAGTAATGTAGTTGTTAGAAAACGGGTACTAGATAAGAATTGCAAATCAATTGATGAAGTAGTGGAACTTTATTAGTTGAGATTGCTGGGATATGTGTTACGTATGCCCTAACACCGACCGCCCCGACGTGCAATATTTTATGGTGTAGGAGTAGGCTGGGAAAAGCTATGGACACCCAGACTAAAACATGAAGCCACTGACAGGTGGTAGGTGTAGACTACCTGGTTGGGATCCGTGAGATGATAGCAACCGATGATTAGAAACCTTGAATGACATGGGTCAAAATCGTTTGCAATGGCATAGGTGCATCCACTCTTTGTGTTCTCTCAAATTCTTCATGTCCCCATTTTTTCTCTTTCCAAATTTATTTTGCTGGATTATATTTCTTGAATAACATCTTCAAACCCTAATGTTTCCGATTACTGCTAATAATCATACTACCTCTACCACTATGGGATTTGAATCGACAACTGCATCTCTGTGTTTAAGTGGTATCGCGATTCGAAATGAGGTACGTACGTACGTTGTTACTGACTGACTATTTGCAAATCTTAATTAGCACGAAATCTAGGGCTTGGATATTCCATCATTTGACTACCATAGATCCTGTCAGTTCATTGTGAATTAGTGGTTTTTAGTGTTTTAGCTCTGTACGTTGTAGACCTTGTCACCATGGACAGAAATCCGAAGGACTATTTCCAGGATTGATCAATTCTGACATCCTATTTCCGTTGTAAGAAGGTAACATCAAGTGTAGATGCTGATTGTCCGAGGGAAATATCTTACGACAGTCAGACCATAATGCATTTGGTAATATAACTCTGCTCTCGGATCTTAAGTTTGCTACTTCTAGTCTTGCTATTCTCCAACCAACTGATATTGTGTGGTACGACCTAAACGAATGTGTTACATGCAATAAATCTTAATTGTGTTATGTAGACCTGACCACCACGTTAAACTGACAGCTAGGATGAGGATTTAACAGACAATAAGATATACAACTCGAGTTGTTCATTATTAGTCACAAACAAACAAAAAATATATACAAACACTACCCGAGCTCATATCCTTTATGATAGTATAAGATACACAATTTATAAAGGTGGGAAAAGTCAGCTCTCTTTCTCGAAATGCTCTCATCATCGCTATGAGTATACAGTCACTTCCAGAGAAGTCCTACTCAATACCATCTCAGCAGGATCCACCAAGGGGAGTTACTTACTTACTTACGCCTGTTACTCCTCGTCAAGGAGCATAGGCCGCTCACCAGCATTCTCCATCCAACCCTGTCCTGGGCAATCCTTTCAAGCTCTTTCCAGTTCTTATTCATCTTTTTCATATCTGCTTCTATTTCCCGACGTAATGTGTTCTTTGGCCTTCCTCTTTTCCGCTTCCCTTCAGGATTCCAAGTTAGCGCTTGTCTCGTAATGAAGTTTGATGATTTTCTCAATGTATGTCCTATCCATTTCAATCGTCTCTTCCTAATTTCCTTTTCAGCTGGAAGCTGGTTGGTTTTCTCCCACAAAAAACTGTTGCTGATGGTATCCGGCCAATGGATATTGAGTATCATACGTACACAGCTATTGATAAATACATGTACCTTCTTGATGGTGGTTGTTGTAGTTCTCCAAGTTTCAGCTCCGTACAGTAAAACTAACTGCCTTGACGTTCGTATTGAAGATTCTGACTTTTATATTGGTTGAAAGTTGTTTTGAGTTCCATATGTTCTTCAGTTGAAGGAATGCCGCTCTAGCTTTGCCAATCCTCGCCTTGACGTCTGCATCTGAACCTCCTTGTTTATCGACGATGCTTCCCAGGTATGTGAAGGATTCCACGTCTTCCAGAGTTTCGCCATCAAGAGTGATTGGATTGCTGTTCTCCGTGTTGTGTTTGAGGACCTTGGTTTTCCCTTTGTGTATGTTGAGGCCTACTGATGCAGAGACTGCTGCTATGCTGGCTGTCTTTATCTGCATTTGTTCGTGTATATGTGATAGGAGGGCTAGGTCATCTGCGAAGTCCAAGTCGTCTAATTGGTTCTGAGCTGTCCATCGTATGCCGTGGTTTCCCTCAGATGTCGAGGTCTTCATAATCCAGTCGACCACCAGGAGAAACAGGAAGGGAGAGAGTAGACAGCCTTGTCTTATTCCGGTCCTTACTTGGAATGTCTCAGTCAGCTGTCCTGCATGCACTAATTTGCACTGTAGTCCATCGTATGAGTTCCGGATAATGTTGACAATCTTCTCAGGAACTCCGTAGTGTCGAAGAAGTTTCCATAACGTTCTCCTATCCACACTGTCAAACGCCTTCTCATAATCAATGAAGTTGATGTAGAGTGACGAGTTCCACTCAATTGACTTGTGTGTGCATATATGTATTCGGTACCTCTTTGTATCATATAATTTATTCAATATACTTAGTTGAAATCATGAGTCAATTGAAGCTAGACCACCATCAAAAACACGGAAGCACTGGATGGCCGTTTCGTCTTAGTACGGCACTCCTCAGCATTGCTCATCCACGATTCCACCCCCAGCGAGATTTGAACACCAGGGCCCATCAGTATCGCACGCAAGCGCTTAACCATTAGATCACTGAGTCGACCGGCATCCAATGGTGTTAATGTTTAATTTCAACCAATCCACAAAAGTTGTACCACCGTAAACTATTGTCTTCAGTGAGTTAATATCACACAACAGATCTAATTGAATCGTTCAAATATGTATTTTTGCAACCGAATGAACAATATAATTTATATTCTATACACAACAGACTTACCTGAACTTTCCATTCCTTGTTACATAATAATGAAAGAATAATAAAATAGCATGATAGATATTTTTCTGACCCTATATATAAAAAAAATTAAAATTAATTGTTTGTGAATTAAAAGTGTTAATTACTGATATAAAATTGTATATTCTTCCATTTAATACTAATTTAAATTGAGGTGGTTGTACAGCAACTTGATAAAATTGACAATTATGTTTACTTTTCAAATCTATAATAGATGAAAAAGAGAGAGAGGAAAAGAGTACAAACATTAAGGTAAACAAATAGATTACAAAAGAATCATTCTATAATTAGATCAATAACAATTACACCTAGACTTTACAATCCGTCCCCCACCCACCGAATGCTTTGGGGTACGGTTGAGGGTGAAGAGAGTACATTTTTTGTGGAGTCCGTCGAATTTGTCTGCAGTGGCGGGCTTACCACTTTTTGTGGGGCCCTTTATTTTGTCGTTATTTAGATCGGACGATGTTGTCGAAGGGCTCTCCACTTTAGTGGCCCGAGATCTGACTCTAAGTAGATCGCATGAATGTTTGTTATTGATATATATATTTCGCCTATCCTCGTATATAATCATTGACTTATAATCGCGTTAGTTAATAACAGAATTAAATAAAGCAAATAACGAGAATGGAACTTTGGATACATATATTTTGTATAATAGTTGATCCGGACAAACGAACGGGGAAACGATGCGAAGAGAAGAAAGCGAAGCAAAAAATGACGAGCGGTGGAGTTGGCGGGTAAGCCAATTCCCATTTAACCAAACGTTAATCAATATTTATAAGCACACAAAAATAAGTTACAGACATGTGATAAGTAATAGGATAAGAAGTGTACACACGCCTACGCGCTCATATAAAGACAGTCAAGATTGATAAGCGAATAATTAACAAGGTCAGAATGTGACTGTCCGAAAGCTAGAATAAGGTATATGGGCTTAACATAATAACAGACACTACAAATTCTTCCTATCGAAATACTCTTACGTGTATATAACTACTGACAGGGAAGTGTTATTCACTGATTTCTCTCAGCATTACTATTGTTTACAAAATTGAGAGGATGAAAAGCGAATATCCGGCTCTTTAACAGGGTTGGTAGATATGGAGAATCCACTTATAGGAGTTAGAAATCGTGATTCCAAACTAATGGTGCGCATGGGCTCCAGGATCCTGATGAAACGAATTACTTATTGACCTATCGTTGGTCTCTTAAAATTGTTCTACTACCTTATGGATTAGAAGTTTACCTGCAATCTCGATGACTTTTAACATACCTCTCAGGTTGAGGGTGTAAAACAATTTCCACTGTTTGGATATCATTGTCATTGAGGAATCGCTTACATCCATCGATGTTATCGAACACGTAATATTGCAACCTAGCAACGTATTTTTAATGCATGAAGGAGTTGAAAAATGTTATAAATCCTATAATTTCATATAGTAGATTGGTTTGTTTGTATTAAGATTGAGTAGAAAATTCAGACAGTCAGTATATAGCAAGAATTACCTACTTAAGCCTATTACCCACCAGTATTCGCCATCCAACTCTGTTTTGAGCAATCCTTTCCAATTGCTATTCGTCCTTTTCACATCTGTTTCCATTTCCCAATGTAGTGTGTTCTTCGGCCTTCCTCTTTTCCACTTCCATTCAGGATTCCAAGTTAGGGCTTGTCTCGTGATGCAGTTTGGCGATTTCCGTAATGTATGTCCTATCCACTTCCAACGTCTTTTTCTAATTTCCTATTCAGTTGGAAGCTGGTTTGTTCTCTCCCACAGAAGGCTGTTGTTGATGGTGTCCGGCCAATGGATGTTGAGTATTTATAAATATTTATACTTTCTTGATGATGATTGTAGTAGTTCTTCACGTTTCAGCTCCGTACAGTAAAACTAACTGTGTTGACGTTTGTATTGAAGATTCTGACTTTGATATTGGTTGACAGTTGTTTTGAGTTCCATATGTTCTTCAATTGTAGAAATGCGGACCTTGTTTTGCCAATCCTTACCTTTACGTCTGCTTCCGATCCTCTTTGTTTATCGACGATAACTGTATCGAACTAACTTCCACGAGTTTATCAAGATCTTCTGAATAATGCCCTAAAGGTCATGCAATTCTACTGTTATGTTTACAAACACCATGTACTAAATGTCTTTCTATATGCTCCTACTGATACTTATCCCTACTATTATTAATAGCTTAATTATAGGTTAGGCACTGAAACAGAATATAAAAGAATCCAACCGTTAAAATGCATGCACATAGATCAACTAACCAGGCTTATCTGGAAGTCGAACAACATTCAATTGACTAAACACACGACCAGATAAACATTTTGGATGCGGTGGCATACGTGTATCCATATAAGTAGCAAACAAATGTAACAGAATCTGGAAAAAACACATAAGTGTGTGTGTGTGATTAATAATAATAGATATAGTACAAAAGAAACGAATGAATAATAAGGATAGGACGCATCGTCAATCAGCAACAACGTAGAACTTCATACGTACATACATCAATCCAAGTTGACATACCACATAAGCACAGAGATACAATTGTCGATTCACATCTCATAGTGATAGAGGTAGTAAAAGTATTCACAAATGATTGATCACTGGGTGGTGATTAATTTCATGTGTGTCAGAACCTTCTTAGTGCAGATCGAATCCTATAGACCAAGTTGCTATGTGACCACTAGTCTAGGTGACTCGACACTATGTTCAGATAAGATAGTGGTTCGAGGCAGTCAACAGGAAATCCTAGACTCGGGTTTCATGCTATTCGGCACCCGTCAGTAAGGTGTACCTGTAATCTTGACGGAAGAGCGTGTTGAGATGAAGGAGAATATTTAGAATTTAGGATGAAGATTTTGTGGTCCTTGGACTGAACCGTATAGTTGTGAAGCTTTCATTGCTCATCTGAACAGCAAAAACTAATCAAAACAGAAAACAAGCCGTCAACTGATTGTGAAGAATTCTTAACAGCTCACTTCTCTTTGAATGATTTAATTCAGAAGAACAACAAAAGCTCAAGAATTATGCCGTCTAGCTTAGGGATTACAATATTAACAATGAAATAATGATAAAATTCAAGATCTGTACTATTACCATCTTCTATAATAGATCGAAATCATTGCACAAATCACAAACCAGATTATCTACATCAAAACTGATACAATACTATCCAATATACTTGAATTTCACAGTAAGTAACCCTTGGATATCCACTTAGTTCAACCAATCTAACCCACTTACGTTCATTAAATATCTTAACTATAGTTTAAGAATTTAATCATTTCATTGTTCTACAATCATCAATAATTCAATAAAAATATCATAACTTACAATACTATCTGATGGTAAATGTTCTTTCCATGGCCATTCAGTACTTTTTGATCCAGAATCCCAACGAAACTCTTGAAGACAACTTTCTCTAGCCAATTCTAATGTAAATGATGATGATCATCACACCATAACGGGAAAAACAAAGAAAACTTAAACATATATCAACAAAGCGAAATTGCGGGGGGAGGGTAAAAATAGGTGAAGAAGATATAATAATATACAACATTAGTGAAAATTTGATAACTTTATTCATAGTCTGTTATAGAGCGAATGTCCGGCGCTTTAACCGAGTTGGTGGACATGGAGAGTCCATCTAGGGGAGTTGGAAAACACTGATTCCAAACCAGTGGTGCACATGGGCTGGTTCCAGTATCCTGAAGGAACAAATGGCGTATGAAACAATCGTTGGTCACCGGCTACCATGGGACGGCATCTCTTTACGATGCTCCACTGCCTTGTGGATTAGACGTTCAGGTCAAAGGCTCGGGGTGTGGCCCCCTAAGAAAACCACCTGCTTCGGTTTGGGCACCCGGGCAGTATCACAGCCCTCACACAAATCAACTGAGATTTGTGTGGCGCATATGTATTTGGTGCCTCCTTGTACCAATATATATATGTTCAAATAATAATAATAATAATAATAATAATAATAATAATAATAATAATAATGAACGAGAATATCAGTGGGAACAGCCAAATGTATTTGGACACACAAATACATAATCTCTTGGCAAAATCTGTGAACCATACAGTAAATATTTCGGTTGTCCCAGACTTCACTGTTCCTTCATTTCTACAGCAATCATTTACTGTTCTCGTTCGCTTCTCTTCGATCTTCTTAACCTTCTGCTGCCAAGTATTTCACTTTCGACCGATGATACATACTATTTATATCTATCGATATCAGTAGCACACACTACAGTAGTACTAGCTGATACAGAAGTTGCTTCAATAGATACTTTGGCAATTTCAACACTGAATTCTTTCATTTGAGAAACCAGTTAGAATGACTAACTCTTAATACAATAAAATTAAGGTCAAGACAAGTGTTAAATGTGATTAACTAGTATGGCGATGTTGCATAATAATCATGAATCTATATATTATATTTATGAGGTGTAAAGAGCTATTTTTAATCGTTTTGTACTATCAATCAAGGTGTTTGAAGGATGTGGAATCTTGTTTCCGGGATGTTTTGTAAAAATACAAGTAGTAACCAAGTGCACAACTCTATCATCTTCCCATCAATACACTAAGGTAGTGCCTCCCACCCCTCCCAACAATATACAATACTATCTGTGTTTGTAAACCCGTTGAATATATTATATCTAGGTAAAATCTAGTTCAGTTAAATCGAATAACGTTTTGTTCATTGTTTATTCATGACATTAGAGTATAATTCAAACAGTCAGTCAGTCAACTACATCGTAGGACTAAGCACATATATGGATCGATCCAAGTTGCCACACCTCATTAGCACAACAAGATCGACATCAAATAAAGAAGGATTGTGTATAAGGATATAGTACAGAAAGAAAGATATAAAGCGATTTTAATCTCACGGTTTAAGGGAAGACAAAAAGTATATACACCTACATCATTGTGATCGATTCGAAACCATAACTCTAACAGAACTAAAGATCACTACAGTCATAATCTAAACAGTAATGCGACATTAGTAACGAAAAATAAAACATTTCCTGAAAATTCAACCATAATCAAATAAAAAGGAACATTTAATAGCTATTATTTTGAAATTTCTGAACTGTCTACGTAAAGACAAATTTGGAAACCTAAAACATGGATCCGAAAACTACTTAATAAATATTCAGGTATTTAGCATTGTATCATCTTGACAACTGTTGAGGAGTCAGTTAGAGTTATCTGAATAGAATGACCCCAAATACCCTGATACGGCTGAGAGTGGGGAGAGTCAGCTCTTTCTCTCTCTCTCCTGAAATGCTCTCACATGGTCTCGCGTATACAGCCACTTCCAGAGAAGTCCTACTCACTGCCTTCTAGCGGCATTATTGTTGTCTACGAAATTGACAGGACGAAAAGCAAATGTCCGGCTCTTTAACCAGGTTTATAGAGACGGAGGATCACATAGGCTCCAGAATCCTGAAGGAACAAATGGTGTAGGATCCTGTTGTTAATCACCGATTACCATGGGAATGCATCTCTTGACGTTGCTCCACTGCTTTGTGGATCAAACTATTAGGTCAAAGGCTCCGATGAAGTCTCCTATGAAGACCACCTGCTTCATTTTGGGCAACCAGGCAGTATCACAGCCCACATACAAATCAAGTGACTTGTGTGGCGCAAATGTATTCGGTGCCCCTTTGTACCAATATTTGTGTTCAAATGATCAAATAGTTCATGATTTTGTCGTGTTTCTGTATTGTTGCTTCCAGTTTCCCCATAACATTACAGTTGATAAAGCCAACTAAAAGTCACTCAGACCCAGATTTAATATAAAACATATTATAAAGCCAATTTAAATTGTGTAGATAAGAAAAACTTACCATGTAATCGATTAACCAAATATCCTTGATCTTTCATAAAATCTAAAAATGCCAACAATACTGGAAGTGTTGGTAAATATTGATATTTAAGTGAAGAGAATTGTTGAAGGGTAGCTAAACTAGTGGCTAGAATTGAAAAGAAAGAAAAAAGAGAAAGAGTGAGTGAGAGAGAGAGAAAGAAGAGACAAGATGTAAGTAAGATGAATACGTTGAAACTGTTGAAGTTTTATTGTTTGGAAAAAATGAAGGGTGTTTTCTAGAACTTTTATGCAACAAGTTTGAACCCTATTCATCTATTGACTACAAAAAAAGTCAATGTTATATCTGGTTTTAATCTTCGGAAATCATTTAACTACATTATATTCTGTCACTTCCTTGTAAAACTTGAATTGAATCTTCAGTATCATAGTTTCTTATACAGATCCATCTATTTTTTTTTCATTGTCAATTACGATGATTTATCCTTAACAAGTCATTACTCTTTTGATATGTTGATTTAACAATCTGATCTGAATAGAAGACGATTGTGAATTTATTCAAACTTACAATATTCCTGCTGAATTTATTCTTCTTATTTTTTGTATACTAATAAACCTTGACAATAAGGTATGTCTTTGAATTATTCGACGTTAAAAGAAAAAACAGGATTGTGGTAATTAGTATATTCGAATGCCCTAATACGGCAGAGAGTGGAGAGAGTCAGCTCTCCCTCTTGAAATGCTCTCACATCACCACGTGCGTACAACCACTGATAGGGAAGTTCTACTCAATGCTTTCTCGCGGCATTACAGTTGTTTACGAAATTGAGAGGAGACGGAGGATCCACCTAGTGGAGTTGGAAAACTCATTGCAAACCAGTGGTGCACATGGGATCCAGTATCCTGAAGGAACAAATGGCGTACGGACCAATCGTTGGTCACCGGCTACCATGGGACTGCATCTCCTGCGGTTGCTCCATTACCTTGTGATTTAGAGATGTAGATCAAAGGCTCCGGGTGTGGTCCCCTATGAAGACCATCTGCTTCGGTTTGGGCACCCAGGCAGTATCCCAACCCTCACACAAATTGAATGATTTATTTGGTGCCTCCTTCTGCCAATGTTTATGTGTTTCAATAAATAAATAATAGTTTTCCACGTGTTCACTAATTTTTGAAGGTTCTCCAACAAGTATTAGGCACAACTAATCTCAACAAATTTATGGAGTAATGATGTGACCTAAACGATAATAATAATATAAAACTGAAGAGATAGAGGACAATAATCTTGCAATTATTCATGAACGCATACATTAAAGATAAAAAAATCTGAATATAAAAACTTGCATCCAATAAGAGTTTTATCGCCACCAGCTTCTTCAAGATTTCGATTAATTGTGTCGATTTCATTGACAATACGTCGAATAATTGTACCATGAAGCCACTAAAATAATAAAAAAGAGATTTAATTAAATAAAGAAATGGTCTGCATAATGAATTTTAAAAATAAGAAAATACATCACCTAAGTTATGCCTCTTATTTACTTACATACATAAACATTAGTACAAGGAGGCAACAAATATAGATGAGCAACACAAGTTACTTGATTTGTGTAAGGGGTGGGATACTACCGGGATTCCCAAACCGAAGTAGGTGGTTTTCTTAGGGGGCCACACCCGGAGCCTCTGACCTAAAGGTCTGATCCATAAGGTAGTGGAACAACGTTAGGAGATGCAGTCCCATAGTCGCCGGTAACAGATAATAGGTCCATACGACTTTTGTTTCCTCAGGATCCTGTAGCCCATGTGCACTATTGGTTTGGAATCAGAATTTTCCAACTCCCCTAGATGGATCCTCCGTCTGCACCAACCCTGTCACAGTACCTGGCATTCGCTTGTCATCCTCGCAATTTCGTAAACAACATATCCGTCGCGAGAAGGCAGTGAGTAGGATTTCTCTGACAGTGGCTGCATGTGCGTGACCATGTAAGAGCATTTCGAGAGGGGGAGCTGACTTTCCCCATCCTCGGCCGCATATCCCTCTATATGCACACACAAACGTATGACCGTAATATTGATTAAATATTCAGCTATGTTTAGAGGTTATTATTCACAAAATAAATCTCTAGAATCTGAGTGATTACATACCTTTCGAAGATTTAGAGTCCAACGATCTAAATCGCTTTTACTAACTTGATTTTCAATCCAATACTGTAAACAGAGAAAAAAATGGTAAAGTAGTGAAATATTCCACATAACAAATCTAGAGTTCACTATTTAAAAGATATTTTACAGAATAGTTTTAGTAAACAACATTTTAAATGAATGATAGGAGTATAGTATATTACAATGGTATTATGATAGCGATTTAGTGTTTACAACACTAGGTTACAAGCTCAAGTCTCGGCACAGATTAATTTTAAGCTACTTTTTCGTGGTAAATATAAAGATTATACGTCTTAAAGATTGTTGTTAATGACGTAACACAAATAACATAATTCATTTAACAAGTATAGGTTTTATGAAATTGGCTCGGAAATATACAGTATCGATACAGAGACTGGTGATGCTCTGTTCCATTAAATCGAAGGCTGAGTGAAGTTCGAATCTGCGACTTATTCGATGAAAGTCGATTAATCCGGATGCTAAGCTCCACCTTCCTTACAATAATCTTAACATGTTACTTCTTCATGTATTCATTCAACAAAAATGCTTACTTCATCTTCAGAACGTTCGTTAATTTCACGATCACTTTTCCCAGAATCGGGAGTTATACTGTTTGGAATAAAGGCTGGTCCAGATAAAGATTTTTGTGAATCATTCAAGTATTGCTGGCAAGGATTAGTAGGTTGAATATAAGCAGCCTGATATTGGTATCGTGGGGATGTCCCTGATGTTAAAAATGGAGAAGACCAAGTGACAGAACGACGCATGTTCCCTGAACTCTGTCCAGGAGCCTCTCCGCTACCAAAAGGTGGTAGCACAGAGCCAAGTCCAGAATTCACAATTGGACTGAGGGCCAAATCCAAAAGAGAAACTGATATCCAAAGGAAATTAAAAAAAGTAGTTATTAAACTGGATATAATAGGCGGTAAAACTACACAATAGCGTATTGATATTATCACACTGGGAGATAACTTTGACTCCAAATGCCTTGATACGACCGAGGATGGGAAAAGTCAGCTCTCCCTTTCGAAGTGCTCTCACATAGCCACGCATATACAGCCACTGATAGAAAAGTCCTACTCACGACTTTCTCATGGCATTACTGTTGTTTACAAAATTGAGAGGATGAAAAGAGGATGTCTGGTACTGTAACCGGGTTGATGGAGATTGAGAGTCCACCTAGGGCAGTAAAAATACCCTCATTACAAACCAATGGTGCACATGTGCTACAGTATACTAATGGGACGAATGGCGTATGGATCTATTATTGGTCAATGGTTACCATAGGGTGCATCTCCTAACGTTGTTCCACTACCTTATGGATTAGACCTGTCGGTGAAAGGTTTGGAGAGTGGCCCCCTATCAGTCAGCCAGCTACAACGTAGGACCCCCATGAAAACTACTTGCCTCGGTTTGGGCACCCGAGTACTCCAGGCCTCACGCGAACTATTGGATTTGTATGGTACATATGTAAATACATATTCGATGCCTCCTCGTACTAATAATAATGACTTTGACAACAGTATAAATATTAAATTAGTGCTGGGAAAAGAATTATCAGTTGTAGAGATTACAACGTTTAAACTTCATTTATGTAAGTATTTGTTTATTATACGATTGCATGAGTCTTTAAATGAGCAGTTTACGATGGTAGAAAAAAAGGACAATAATCGTGGAAGCGAAAATCGGAGATATAAAAAGTACGGATTTTCTACATTCTAGCTTGTATATTAAATTTTTGATACGAACCAATAGAATAAACTACTATAACGGATAGTGAATGCAAATAAAGGAGGATAGTCACCTTGAACCCAATCACTACTTTACCGCTGTTACAATGCACATGACATTCGCTCATTCTTATTCTCTAAACCCATTGAGGTCACATAGAGATGTAGTTAGGTTATACACTATCAATCTTTCGAATATATTACTTTTTAAAATACCCAGTGATTCACAATAATTATCGAAATAAAAATAACTTTATTCAGGCTCCATGGAAGTATACATAATGAGTTTTACAAAAAGCTGCCAGTGGTAGTTTGGTACTAAAGACCAGTAACTTTACATTATCACTGTAGTAAATCGAAATACGAAAATCTCAGTGTGATAAGCGTTAAACTGTAAATGAACAAAATGACGGTGCTTCTAATACTAAAAATCTCTGTTCTTTCATTGTATTGTAACACTAGGCTATGTTAATGACAATTTAGTCAGATATAGGAAGAGGTGCATGCTACTCATTCTCAAAAACAAACAGCTAAATGGTAGATACTAGATACACCATTAAAAATAAACACTTACGATTTTCTTGAACACCCGGACTCCCCGAAACCCGTAAAGATCCACAGTGTGGTTGTGATAAATTACTATGGGACTGATTATGCTGCGGTGACACTGTACCAATTGCTGATTGTTTCCAAATAGGTTGATTTTCATTCACAGACTGTGGAATTCCAACATCTACATAGGGAATTGCTGATCTAGCAGGAGATCCACTGGTAATTTCATATGATGAGTTCCCAAAGGTAGCTCCACAAGAACTGATGTCTAAGCTGTCCTTCAATAAGCTGGAGCAGAACATAGAAGGACCAACGAGTGACTTGTTTAGAGGTGATGAGTGAAATCTTAAAGCTGACTGACCTTCCAGTATTAGTAGTAAAATGAGACTTACTGTGAGAATTACCTGCGTCCATTCTTCGGATCAACGCTGAACTTACTATCACGAATACATGGTATGAAATGCAGGCAATGAGGAGAGTAAAAGATGATAATACTGCAGATCAATAAAATATGAACAAAAACATACTTAACTTTTCATAAGAAGACATCCATCCCAAAGGGAACGAGAACAGACGGAAAATTGGTTGAACATAACTAGTGAAAATTATATACAAACACAGTCAACTTACAATTCTATAAGTACACACATTCCCACCAGTACATCCACTGAAAGCCATTTGTAAGCGTTGTTTAGTGACCTGATCTGAGCCTCAGCTTTGCATCGACGCTCGATTTTCGGACTAGCCCACACTTGAGTAGACATACGTATTTTAGCGTGATATCCTGAAGAAAGATTTAAGAGAGGTCCAGAAAATTCCCAACCTCTAGAGGACAGTCTAGAATATTTAGATAATACAAAATTTATGTAATAAATATTATGTGACAGACAATAAGTAGGGGAGAGACGAAGAAAAAGAACACTACAGATATTGGGCTTAAGACGACTCATCAATATTTCAAGTGATTTTTCACAATAGCATTTTTCTGCTTGTTGTATCAAAAGTATACACGTTGCAAGTGTGACTTTAGGAAGAAATTACGAGACTAAGTATATTTCCGTTTCATTTTGATTCTTACGTATTCTACAGATTTTAACAGAGGAACCAGATTAAAGAGACGTTGCACATAGTGCTGTACAGTAGAAAGTTGGGCTAGTTTAGAAAACAGCCTTAAACAACCGTAGGTATCTTGTTTCACAAACCAAAAACATCCTAATAGGCATTTCAATTGTGAGCATCAAGATGCTGATTAACTACTTGGCTAGACGTATATATATATATATATATATATATATATATATATATATGCTTACATTGAAATATTTATAATAACATACTAACAAAAATGGATGAGCTTAAATATCGGTTTCGTTTATCACTAGTGACAGGCCAATTGCCTTTAGTTACTTTAACACTGAGCTGGAACTCAAACTGACATCTGAATTCATATGTCAGGCTAATAATGAAGAGTAAATTAAGTACACCCTTGATAAATGACTCGACTAGAACTGTCCAGATGTTCCGAGAACTTCTGCTCTGAATACGAATACCAAAGTTCGGATCACGATCCACACCTTTTTTCAATCTGCCCAGACTACCAAACTGCCTTGAGAGACAGCGAATAAATCCATTTGACCCTCAACATTTTTCAATTTACAAAATAAGCTAAAAAGATTGGACGGTGGAAATTTAACTTTGTTTTTGCTGCCAATATATTAGAGATATAGAAGTAAGCTCAAATCCACGGATCGATTCCATTACCGACTATAAAAAAACAAGGATCCTGCAATAAGACTTTTCAAAGACGAACCACCAAACATGGGCTCTATACTTTAAGAGTAGAGGTTATATCGATAACAGAAAGCGAAGAAACTTTTAAGGAGCTAGATATACTCTACTTTTCGAAAAAAATTGGTTTGATTCTCTGAGGTAGACAGGTATGTATTTGCGAATGGAATTGAGCATGTACTACAATTCAGCTTAGCATGTAGGAGTATATAAATGCCCAAAATAGATAGTTAGATAAGTCGTTGACAGTGATGCTGACCTTATTAGTTTTGCTGAACGCCTAGTTGAAGGTGCTCAGTCACTCATCCGCACCAGATCACCAGTGGGTATGCCTCTCTACACATGCGTTTCAACTACTAGCCGGCTCAAATATAACACTTCTCGATATATCGCTGGCTTTCCAAATACATCTTCGAACCGTTTCATAACTGAGCTGAATGGGTCGACATACCATGAGTATAAAGGCGTTACGTGTAAAGGTGTTTTCAAACTCCGAATACTTGTGACATCTTTAATGGTGGGACCGATGTGATCTGGTACACCAAGCAGTAAGCTTTGAGTCTTTTTCTTGATGATATATTATATATACTTTTTTATATTTCCGATATTGTTTCCAAATTTTCGAATTTTTTCTTCATCCATTGGTTTATTTATCTTAATATAGACACCTAAGCTATTTAAAATTAAGACTCTTTCGCCCTTCACATTTCAACCCATACCATTCTAGCTGGACAATATGTCATACTTTGTATATTTACTGGTGATGTTTCGAAGCCGTACGACTTACTGAAGAAGGCTGTTCTTGAACGTGGGGATTTAACTGACCGACAGAGATTATGCCAACTTTTCAACAACGTCGAGTTGCATTATGACTCAGTAACAGAAATATGCCAACCTGTGCGAGAGGTCATAGGTTAGCGGACCTTTTTGTCGGCTACCCAGTCAAAGAGAGGCCTCAAACAACACAAAGTGACCACACGGACCTCCATTATATTCCGACTCGTTATGTAGATATTTACCATCACAACATACCCTCCCTAACTCTTCCAAATAGTTCTTCGCAAAAAAATCTGCCTCTGAACGACGAGTGGTAGACTATCCTGATTAGTGCTGATATCATTATAAGCATCATAAGTCTTCTAAAAATTGCGGAAAACCCTACTGCTTCTTAATCTCAGAAAATTCTGACACGGAAAATTCTTCAGGAAACTTTCTTGCTGTCATGAGTTAGCGGCAGCCGTAGCCAGCGAATATAGCTGCTGTTGTTCATCACTGATATGATGACGAAAGTTCACCATCTTTTCGATAATAGGACAGAAGTTGGTGTCCTTCCCGCGGATCCTCACAAAAGACTTCACTAACCGGTCTTCAACTTAGAGGTGGGAAATGAAAATCAATTTGGTAGGCAACATGTTTATTTTAACGTGAGTTTATGTCAAATCACTCACTAGATTTTTGTTGTTGCGGATGTTTGTATGCCAATCATTGGTATAGACATGCTACAACACCATAATCTACTTATCGACACACACAAATAGAGGGTTATAGATAAAATTACTTAATTATCTGTTTTCGTAACTCCCTTTTCCGGTTGTAGATTATCTTCAGTCACCAAAAGGCATAAAATCAAACTATTTTATCGATAGGTACTTGATAAGTACCCCAAGCTGTACTAAACGCAAACAAAATTATCGTGTGTAACCAGCAATATTGCGCGCCATATCATGGCATACAGGACCACCTGTATTCTCGAAAGCTCACCAACTAGCTCCTGATAAGTTGGGGTTGACTAAGAACGAATTCCACCGGAGGATCAAACAGATGGGAACAGATATGGAAACTTCACCGTGAGATATATCTACGGGTAGACATCGTCCAACAGTGCGGAAACATTATCGGCTCGACGTCTCCAATACGTTGAACAGACTTTATCATTCAGGTGTTCAAGCAACCGTCAAGGACATTACTGCTAAAACAGTAGCCCTTGCCTTGGTTGAACGATCGGTAGCGAATTTCAGTTGCCCTTCAAATATCACTACAGACGGTCCAAATATGAAGATTTTCGTTGTCTTATTACACTACTAGGTGGCAAACTCCGGATACTTGTGTCATCGTTAAGCTGAGAACAGCTTCAAAACACACACATGTACTCCGTATTTGAGTCGCTAATTGACCTTTTCACAACTACACAGACCTGTATAACGAAAAATGTGCTGATGCTATGATTACAAACTCAAGAAAAGATTAGTTACACCAGTGCACTGTTTTGAAATGATGACATAAAGCCGTAAACGTGTCATAGAAAATTGAAAAGGAATAGTTGTTGTGACCAGTATTCGTTAAGAACTCATTAGCCGTTGCGTCATTTATACTTTATGAATTTTCTTTCTCTGAATTACTTCGTATTTCAATTAAAATGTGACATATTCCCGCATTTCCGAGTACAGGCTTTAGAAATTCATCAACCTTGCAGTGATGTCTAGTGCGTAATGCAACTGCGAGGTTTTACATATACTAGACAAACCCGAGCAAACTTTGACAATCAAGGACGGTCAGTAACAACTTAAGATTGGTGTTTAAGAGTTGACCGAAGACTTCTTTATAATATCGAAAAATACATTTAAGTAATTGTTCTCTCTTATTTTGAGTAGGCATTGCACATCCTGTTATTCCATGTTGAATGTTTTGCGTGGTTGAAATAAGAACCTCGCGCCTCAACTGGTCCGTTTCACAGCCCGAATAAAAACACACTGCAACTACCAGTCTGACATCTTACACATAATACTAGGGGTAACTACCAGCAGTAAATTTCTAGCGAACGTCTAAATCTATACTCTTTCTGTGTCATTTTATTCTTTGGCTGATGACACAAAGCCGCTTAATCTGATGCCATTGATATTTTCTTCGGCGCCCAATGTTTTAGTGTTCATGAATTTCATTTTGTCAAATTATCCGTTGTCGAAAAACAGAATCCCTGATAAAGCTGAGGTTATTAGAAGAATCACATTCGAGAACATGCCTGTGATGTTTTAATTGTAATCCATCTGTATTTAATATCGAGTTAAACTCGCTATCCACATCACACATCACACATCACATAGATGATCATCTATGCCTCCGATAATATCATTAACATAGTCATGACTTGACATATTAGTCTACCCCCTTTGTCAGAACCAGGGATGCTGAAGTACAATCTACTTAATCATTGAATGAACTGAAACTTCCTCCGGTTGAACATAGACCTTGACTTAGAGACGCGACTATGATGGTTGGTCAATTCGATCTGAGATGAAACAACCAATTTGTAGCTCGATGATGGGAATCATAGGCTAAATCTCAAAGCTCCAAGGGAGTTCTGACAGACAGTGTGGCTGAATGATTTCTCATAATGTTAAATTCTAGTTAACACTTTGCTCTGGTTATTGAGATAAGATAAATAATAATTGCGTAGATTTTAGTGTAGATCAACAACGATTAACTGTATCACTGGGTCGGCTTTTGTAATGGGAGGTTCATATATTTGTTTGGTTTTTAAGTTCACCTCAATATTGATGTGTTTTCGTAACTCTATGTAACAAAGTAGTTACATGTTATGCTTAAACGTTACGTCGTTTACATTTCCACCAACATAAACTGACTACCCTGTGAAAGAATTAACAGTTCAGTGATTGCTAAAATATTAGTAAACTTTTGAGATATTTTCCAGTGAAAAACTGAAATACGTTATCGAACGGCTGATAGCTGGGAAGTTTTGGAATGAGAGCTTTATCCCAGAATTATACTCTGATAACGTTAAAACCTATAAACACGTATGATATTCAAAGTCGTGAATTCATTTCTCCAGGCTACGATAGTTTGGAGATAGCTTCTGTATGATATGAGTTCTCATTCTATCTTTAGATCTTTAATTGATCATGCTCATTTAGTGTAAGCTAGCATGTTCACACACATAGGACAGGTGAAACGTTACTGAGCCTTAAACAAACCACCCATCAGGCTGAACTTTCTCTACTTTTGACAACAGGGTGCTGACTTGTAAACAGTCTATGAAACATCGGCAAAGTCAAGGATGACTGGTTGGTGCACTGTACGTTTATCAAGTTTTACCAACACATTTTTCATTCATACCACTTTTGTTTTATGAAGTTGTCAAAGTAGGGCACCACGTAAAAGTAACTCACGTCAGGTGTTAACTGCAAGACGTAATTGGGACTTGAGCTGGGAAGTCCTGCTGTAGTAATTCTGAACAAAAATGGGGACAACCAAATGTTACTGGATATGGAATTACAGAGTTTCATGTTGAAATCTGAGAACCATACACTAAATACTTCATTTGAAAAATGTACACCGGTCGTCCCAGACTTAAGTGTTTCTTCGTTTCCATACCAACCACTCTCCGTTACCGTTCTCTTCTATTTGATCTTCCACTTTGTAATAATGTTACATACTACTGATATCTATCGACATAAATAATCCCCACCACAATACCATTTCTGTCTAACACAAGCAGATCATGTTCATTCACACAAACCACCTTCATTTTTGATCTATCTAATCCTAAAGGGTTACAAGATAAAATGGAACAAACATCAAATGGTCCTTGATTTTTTAGTTGTTCCCAGTTTATATCAATTCACGACAAAATATACTTTTCTTATTTCCAGTCTTGGGAATATTTCTTTTCTTTTATTAGTTTACAGTATTATGTAGCTAAGACGTTGAGACAACTTGTATTATACAATATTAATGGTTTACAATAATAAATTGAATAAAAAATAATTGGAATTAGAAAATCCAGTAAGTTGACTAAATCAAGCATGAATATTTCGACTTGATTTTAATACATCTTCAAAAAGTTTCACAGTATCTACTGCAGTACCCCAACTTAATGCAATCCCCATTGAACCATGTCCATAATTATGTATAATTGGTAAAGGTTCACAGGTAATTTCAGGTTGATACCATTCAATCTTATAGCAGTTATTTGATATTTAAAAAGAAACAAAGAAAAATAATTTTATTTTTAAACAGCTGACTTGTTAAAGAAAAAATTGCACTATTTGGTGAAATAGTGTTGTGTTTTTAAACATAGTGAACTTGGTAAATGAAGCACCATACGGTCGTTTTTTCCTAGTACGGGACTTCTCAGACGTGACTAGTAGAGTCCAATCCTTGTCAGGTAGAGACAAGTATTTGCTTCGGACAATGGATAAATGGTTGCGCGGCCATTCATGGATCGTGGAAGTTATAAATTAACACCGTTAGATTCCGGCTCAATGGAGTAAAGATTAACACTGAGTGCCGTGGGTTAAAATTCTGAGAGCTTTGTTGTGTATGAACACTGCTGAGGAGTTCTACAATAGGTGGCGGTCTAACATTAAACGATTTATGATACCAATCAAAAAGATTATGAATTATGTCTAACCAAGATATACTCATATAAATAAAATTGAGGTCATTCATGTAGGTTCTGTGTTCTTTCCGCCATCTATGTATAAATTGTATCCAGATGGTTCAAAAATTTCCGTCGTTGATAGGTCAGCGAATATATCGCAAAACATATTAGAATAACTGTACTATATTAGCAAAGGATTTTTCTTCAAAAAACTAAATATACCACTGAAATTTCTGTCTGCCTTTTTATAACTTTTTAGTTCACCAACTTTTTCATATACTTTTACTACTAACTTGTAAAAAGCTAGATACCAGTTTGAATAGATCATCCATATATTTATCCAGCAGTGTACACTTAAACATTTCACATAGGATGATATGATACATCGAACAAAATTGTCAAATGGACTACTCAGCTATATGCAAATTAATAAACTTCAGTAAAAGAACACTTTAAAACTTACTTCTAATCTTATAGATGGTCTGAAAGGTCGTAATCCCGTCCATTCTTCAACTATTGGTGATTTTCCTAATCCTCCATGCCAAGTATTATCAATTCTTTGAAGAATATCTTTTGTAGATTCAGGTGATACTCTTGTATCATCATCTGTTGTAGGTCTGCTTAAAACTGAAGGTAAATATTCACGAAATCCTCCAAGAATTACACTCTCTTTTCCTGTATAACAATATGTATCATCACGCTAATAAAAAGAGGGTAATTTAAACAAACTGTTAATTAGTTACAATAGGTCACTGTAGATCCTTAGATATGATCTAGACATGAGATAGAAGATTTGATTTTATTGAAAAATCCTAAAACAGAGAAATTATTGTCATATTGGTACAAAAGGGCATCGAATACATAAGTGCCATACTTCAACATTCGATTTATGTGAGGGCTCGGATACTACCTGGGTGCTTAAACCGAAGCAGGTGATTTACGTGAGGAGCCACACCCCGAGCCTTTAATTTACAGGCTTAAGCCGCAAGGTGGTGGAGCAACATCAGGAAATTCAGTCAAATGGTGGCGGGTGACCAATAATTGGTATATACGCCATTTGGCCCTTTAGAATCCTGTGGCCCACGTGCAATATTGGTTCGGGATGACAGTTTTCCAACTCCCCTAGGTGGATCTTAGATATTCATTAACCCGGTTTAAGCACAGGACATTTGCTTTCCATCCTCTCAATTTCATGGTTAACCACTTTTAAAGCATTTGATCACAATGTTGACAATTCAAACATAGGTCATGACATATTTCAAGAAGTAAGTATGTTGGTTCAATCTTATTATTACACATGAAGTAATAATGCAAAAAAATTATCACTTTAGTTAAGCATCGAGACTATGAAACTTCATCAGAAAAAAGTTTATTCAATCACATGATGAGAGTTTGACTGAACAATCAGTTACAAAGAGAAATGATGAAACAAATTGATTAAGTACTTAAAATGCAATTTTATAGTTGAATCCATAAGTCAGTTAAAGCTAGACCACCATGGAAAATCTAGAGGCACTGGATAGCCATCTCGTCCTAATTTGGGGCTCCTAAACACAGAGAATTCAAGTTCCCGCTAGCAGGACTTGAACGCAGGACCTATCGGTCTCGCACGCGAACGCCTAACCTCTAGACCACTGAGCCGGAATATAACAGCCATTCAGTACCTCCAGGTTTTCTATGGTGATTTAGCTTTAGTCAACTCATGAATTCAATTATAAAATTACTAAAATCTCCACAAAACCCACTTCCGATAGTACTTGTAATGTAATTGTAAAGCTTATCTCTTAAGCGAGATTGAGCCCGCGAGCTGAATAGTGTATTAATTACTTAATTGTTCTGATATTGTTGTGTGTGCTACTGATGTTGAAAGATATAAGTAGTATATATCATCAATCGAAAGTAACAATGTCTGGTGTCACAAGGTTAAGAAGATCGAAAAAGAGAACAAAAACAAAGCACGTTTGGTCCGGGAATGAAGGAATAGTCATGGTTGATACGATTGATTGACACTTTGTAAATAAAGTATTTACTATGTGGTTCTTAGATTTTACTGACTCTGTCATTCGATATTTTATTTGTCTCCACTTGTGTTCTCATTCACTAAAGACTGTATCGCCATATCACTCTCTCTGTGCCGAAATGCTCTCACTTGGGCACTATCATGCAAGTCCAACTCGTTGCCTTCTCACGGTATTACTGTTGCTTATGAAATTGAGAGGACCAAGAGCGAATATTCGGCGGTGTAACCGGGTTGGTGGAGATGGAGAAGTTACCTATGACAGCAGAAAAATCCTGATTTTGAACAGATGGCGTGCATGGGCTCCAGGATCCTGATGGAACTAATGGTGTATGAACCTATTCTTGGCCACCGGGTACAATGAAAATTTACTTCCTGACATTGCTCCACTACTTTGTGGATAAGACCTTTAGGTCAAAGGCTCACGGTGCGACCTCTATAAGAAAACCACGTGCTTCGGTTTGGGTAACCGGGTAGTATCAAAGCTCACGTACAAATCAAGTGACTTTTATGATGCATATGTATTTGGTACTCCTTTGTACTAATTTTTGTGTTCAAATAAACAAATAAATAAATAAATAGAACTGAGAATTACCATGGCGTTGAAATTCAGTTAGTTTCCTTTTTAGATTCAATTGCCAAAGTGACATCTTATAATCATAATAAACTACTTGTTATAATTAATTACACAATATACCCTTGTAGACCAGGATAATTTTACATTGGTTTTCAGGAGAGCCAGATACCATCCAGACTTTCACATGATAACCCAAACTGTACAGCTCAATCCCATTTAACAGGAGAGCCAGACACCACCCAGGCTTCACTTTTATAAACTGAGCAGTACATTTCGATCCCGATTGACAGGAGAACGTTACGATCTGAATGGTACAGCTCAATCCTGTGTCGCAACCATATAGGTACCCAGCATCCTGGTGGATCATTCGCACCATTTGTATACACATTCACATCACATGTATAGTTATTCCGATCAGTGATCTCGTGAATCATTTGTGCACAGTATGAACAGGCCGAAGTTGACTTATTCTGCTTACACGACAGTCATACTTAATAATGTTAGCGATGATCGTATGCTATACAATGTTATAATAACAATAAACCTTGAGAATGCTAAGAAGAAACCCTCAGTATGAAATCGGTTAACCAGCAAACCGATTTTGCGTATGAACAGTCGGCAAAACTTATCAAAATAATGCAGAACCATTTACAATATGAATAACAAACCTCCAGTCTTACATGAGACCTTCAGCTCTACATAGCCATAAACTTCTTGTAATGATTCATTAATGTAACGTATTGATTTTGAAGTTTGTTGATAGTTTGTGTATGTGTATGTGTATGTGTGTGTGTGTGTTTGGATAGCATAATGTTTGTTTGAATGACATGGTGAAATACTTTACTTTCTGTGATAAATAAGTAAGATATCTGAAATGTATTGCTGAAAGTATCTAGATATTCTAATACCAACTTTGAGAAGCACAACTTTCAACTACTAATTCACATAATGAATAAATCTAACTAACTATTTCTGTAGTGAAATATGTCTAATTACGTAATATTGTTTAATCATATCTTATTCAATAAACTGTTACACCAACATTCTAACCAATGATAAAACATTAACTATTCAATTGTATATAATGACATTGTCACATGTTTGTAGTGAACCAGAACACAATTGAGGTCAATCAAAAATATTTGAATACAAAATTACAGAATATTTTTGTAAAATCTGAGAACCATACAGTTAATACTTCATTTGCAAAATGTTAATCACTCGTCTCAGACTTCATTGTTACTTTGTTTCCACACCAATCATTCTCTGTTCTTGTTCAGTCTCTTTCGATCTTCTTAACTATCGAACAGTGGACATTTCACTTTCGATTGATGATACATACTACCTATATCTAGATAAGATGGTGGTTGAAGATAGTCATTAGGAAATCCTGGACCTAGTTTTTATGCTATTTGATACTCGTCAGAAAGGTGTACTTGTAATCTTGAGGGACCTGATGCTCCCTGATGTATTTGATTCGGTGTTATCCGGCATCACAGTCATAGACTTTACCACTGAGCTATCTGGGTAACGACTGACCTCCCAGCAAGGAGAATCAGTTCCCTCCAGATTACAGGTACACCTTGCTGACGAGTGCCAAATAGCATGAAACCCGGGTCTAGGGTTTACTATTGACACCTTCAATCACAATTTTATCCCAACATAGTGCACACAATGTCACCTAGACTAGTGGTTACATTGATCACCATCCAGTGATCAATCAGTTATGACTACTTATATCTGTCGAGATCAGTAGCACACACCACATGTTCAGCACGACCCTCTAATCAGATAAAAATTAACATTGACTTCACATAATATTTGTAAAAATAGATCACTTTTAAAGTAACTGTGAACATTTACATAAGTAAATAAACATGATGAGTCCATGTTTTATACTGGTTTGTATTGATCTATAGTCATATCGGAGTCAAAATGATTCAGTATTATCGTCCCTAAGCACTGCAATTGTATGACACTGGCAAGAATCTCTATAGATAGGTAACCTTAAAATTACAAATATATTGTGCTATTGAGTGTCCAACACCATGACTCGAAGCATAAACCCCCCTATTGGTTGATTCTAACTCATTTACAGTAAATAGATAGTGTAATGCAAGTATTCACATACAATTAAACATAAGAGTTGCAAATGATTTGTCATACCCATAGGATTTAATTATACAATCATTTACCCTGTAGTGTCGGTTATAATGTTAAGCTCATATAAGCTATTCTAAATTCTGGATAGGGCAATCTATTCACTCTTCTTCAGTTACGTTTTGACGTTGTCATTTGTTCACTTATTAAACATTACCGTTTTTTATATGAGCCTATATGTGTTCACTTCTTATCCTAAACATCACATAACCGTAGCGTATTTCTATCTGATTGATAAACGCTTGATTAAATGGAGTTGGCTCATGCTCCTTCTTCACTGCGCATCGTTTCCTTTCACTTCACTCTACCTTCCTCATTTCATTTTCTGTGATTCTCTGATCGTCTGTTCCAATCAACGAGTATAATATATCAGTTAAGGGGTTGTGGAGATGTTAGACCACCATTGAAAACTAATAATTACCATGTGCTCACTGGTGTCTAGGTTTGTAAGAAAATTCTCTGAGTTCTAGTGAGAAGCCGTGACGAGTCGAGATAATCCGTGTCGGGTGGAAACAGATGTCTACCTTAGTACAATGGAAGATGGTCGCTCAACTTCGTGGTTTGTTTGAGGTTAGACATTAACACCATTGGATGCCGGCTCAGTGATCCAGTAGGTTAAGCGTTCGCGCGTGAGACTAAAGGCCGTGGGTTCTATTACCGCAAGCAGGATCATGGTTGCGCATTGCTGAAGAGTCCCGCAATAGGACGAAATGGCCATCCACTGCTTCTAGGTTTTCCATGGTGATCAAGCTTCAATTGATTCATAATTTCAACTAATGAAACGAACTTGAAGTACCAATGATAACTATGAAATATTAAATAGAGATTTTATACAAGTTTACAACTTCATTGAAGTGTAGACTTATGAACATATCAAATATAGAACACATAATGTTTCTTTGATCTCATATTATTATAAAGAAAAATAACTAAGATCATTCATTTACCCCAAAATAAAATCCAAATTTCATCCATGGTGCTAAAACACGTACTAATTGACCTTTCACTGGTTTTATCTCTGGATCATTAAATAAATAACCTGATCCTAATCCAGTACAATTCATAATTATATTGATTTTTTGTTCTTTAGCCCAATAATATAATTCATTTGAAGAAGTAAATGCTTTCTCTCTTTCATTATATATAGAATGATCATTTGGAACTAAGTTTTTAATTTGATTTAATAAGTAATTCATATAATAACGTGGTTCTACAATACATGTTGTATAATAATAAGCTGATTTAATATGTTTAGCAAATCCAATCGAATGAATCTATTAAGTTAAAGGAAGAAAAAAAATACAGACAATTTTAAATATGGGATGAAGTTTTTGAATTGAGATCATGAATACCTGGTATCACTAGACGACTGTTTCGTCCTGTTATAAGACTCCTCAACAGCGCATATCTATGATCCCTCTTGAGAGACTCGAACCGTTAAATGGCGGTTTATTGATCTATTGGTTAAACATTCACTCGTGAGACAGATAAGTCCTGGGTTCGAATCTCCCGAAATGGGATCATAGATGTGTACTATTGAAGAGTCTCGAAATGGAACGAAACATTCATCCAATACTTTCAAGTTTACAATAATGATCAAACATTCATCAATTCATGGTCTCAATCAAAAGCTGATTTAATATGTTTAGCAAATCCAATCGAATGAATCTATTAAGTTAAAAGAAGAAGAAAAATACAGACAATTTTGAATATGGGATGAAGTTTTTGAATTGAGATCATGAATACCTGGTATCACTAGACGACTGTTTCGTCCTGTTATAAGACTCCTCAACAGCGCATATCTATGGTCCCTCTTGAGAGACTCGAACCGTTAAATGGCGGTTTATTGATCTATTGGTTAAACATTCACTCGTGAGACAGATAAGTCCTGGGTTCGAATCTCCCGAAATGGGATCATAGATGCGTACTATTGAAGAGTCTAGAAATAGGACTAAACATTCATCTAATATTTCCAAGTTTTCAATGTTTACCTAACATTCATCGATTCATGATCCCACTTGAGAGACTCGAACCGTTGAATGGCGGTTTATTGATCTATTGGTTAAGCATTCACTCGTGAGACAGATAAGTCCTGGGTTCGAATCTCCCAAAATGGGATCATAGATGCGTACTATTGAACAGTCTCGAAATAGAACGAAACATTCATCCAATACTTTCAAGTTTACAATAATGATCAAACATTCATCGATTCATGATCTCAATAAAAAACAATAATAATAATAATAATCTTATTTACCTCTTCTTCATCTAAATATATTGTTTTCCCACATAATTTACTTATAAATGGTATATCAAATTCATTATATTCTGATAATTGATAAGTTGGATGAAAGTATACACCAGCATTAGATGAATTCCAACTACATGCTAATTTCCAATATTGTTCACGTCCAATATTACACCAATGAATAAAATCATTTAATTGATTTTCATTATCATTTAATCCAGGTAATAATTTAGGATCTGGTCTAAATATACCAGCTGCACCATAACTAGTAACCATAACATTTTTTTTATCAGATTGTATACTTATTTCTATATTTGAATATGTTTCTTTAATTAATAATCCTGTTGAAAGACCAATTATACCAGAACCAATTATACCAACTTTCATTTATATTTATAATATTATATTATATTAATATATATATATATATATCCCTTTCTTTTATAAGTTAATAATTGTTACCCCCTCAGTAACTAAATTGATCATGACCTTGACATTGAAAATCTGATTGGTTACTTAAATGTAAAGGGATAGATTATATATTGATTTAATAACTAGTATCCTTTATTACAAATAAATATAAATCAAATGAAGAGTATTATTAATAAGGTAAAGAAAAATAATATTTATATTGATTGTGAAATCTTAAGAAAACATAAATGACGTGAAATTAAACCATGGTAACTGAATTCAGTATATCAGATAGTATCAGTTTATTGATTATTAGTAGATATTATGATGTTAAACAAAGATAGATAGTAATTAGTAGTGGAATCCAGTTTAATGTGTGTTTCGTTCTATTTCAGACTCATCAGTTGGATGTAACTGCATCATAGAGTTGATGTTCAGTCTGAGACTCGAACTCAGTAGTGTTCACTTTTAAACGCTATCGTGTTCTTTACTTAGCTACTGAGTCTTGATAGCCACCTGTTTGTGCTATGAGGTGAAGTTTTAATTCATTTGGTGTTGTTTTAATTGTATCTTACCATTTTTATTTAGGACTGCAATTGATCAGTCTCTTGTTGGCACAAGTACATCCTGCGCGAATTGTCTCAGTATAGTTTTAAGTCACAAGCTTTTTTAAACAAAGATGGATAGTGGGTAGTAGTAGAATCCAGGACGCGCGTTTCGTCCTATTTAGGATTCGTCAGCTGGATATACTTGCATTTTAGAGTCGATGTTCCTTGAGTGAAATAGATACATCATATTCTTAAATATATCAGATTAGCTAAGTGGATAACGCCATGACATTTGAAGCGAACAATACTGGGTTCAAGTCCCAGAGTGAACACCAACTATGAGATGTAGGCATGTAAAGCTGACGAGTGCCGAATATGAGAAAACGAGTGGATTCTGCTGCCACCAGACACCATCCATCTTTCCTTATAATGCTTGTGAATTAAGACAATATTGAGGCAGTTTGTACAGGATGCACATATGCCAATAAGAGACTGGTCAATTGTAGTCCTAAACATAAATGGAAAGATTCAAGTAGAACAATACCAAATGAATTATGATGTCAAGATAGCAGAAGACAAAGAGTGTCCAATTCATTTTGATATTTTCTTTTAGAATTATGATTTAAACAACGATATATGAAAGATCTCATTTCAAGTTAGATAACTAGGATTCTGTTGAAAATGATGATGAATAACACAGTTACTATAGCATATAGATTCTCAAATGAAGTAAACTAAATTTTTCAAATCATGTTATTTATCTTAATAGAGGAAGAAATGATTAACTGATAGGTCCTGAGGCGGGGTCATGGATGAGCACTGCTAAGGAGTCCCAAAAATGGAACGAAACGGCCATCCAGTGCTTCCAGGTTTTGCATGGTGGTCTAGCTTCAATTGACTTATGGTCTCAATTATTGAGATTAACTAATAGCTACACTGATGATATGGAAATTGAGTGAAGAATGTATCATTTGTTTAAATCAAATATAGATTAAAGTTCCTCTGATGAGAGCCAGTGTTGTCAACGTGGTATGGTCGCTGGTGGTTATGTCAGTTAAGTCTGTGTGTCTAAATTTGGCAATCGTATTCGTGGCAATTGTTGAAGCTAAGAGTAAATACTACTCTGCTAAAGGAACTCCATGTCATTTAACTTTTTGTTAATAAATGTTAGTTCTTTCGTGAAAAGGGTTACCGTGACAACTTTCTTTCTAATTTATATTTCTTTATTGACCTTTAATACTATTCGACTGATCATTTTTCACTCTTAGGTAACCGATTTTCCTCTATACACCAAGATCATGTTTTGTTGTTACATACAGTGATTTGTTCTTTCATGACTGACTTGTTTAGTACTGGGCTTCTTCAGAAATCCCTCTTTTTGATTATTGTGTTGTAGTGAACAAGAACACACGAATGGAGACAATTGAATGTATTTTAATACAAAATTACAAAATCTGAGAACCATACAGTAAATACTTCATTTGAAAAATGTCAATCAATTGTTTCAGACTTCGTTGTTCCTTCGTTTCTACATCATTCATTCTGTTCTCGTTCTCTTTTTTTTTTGGATCTCTTTAACCATCTGTTACCAGACATTTTACTTTTTATTAATAATGTATACTACTTATATCTGTCGACATCAGTAGCACACACCAGTGTTAGATATTATTCTCATTGTGTTATGTTGCAATTGTCCAGTCTATCAAGATTTTGTAGATCTACGCTTTGCACTATGAGAATATCTCAGTTATTCATAATTAAGAATTATCTTAGGATGATCATAAAAGTGTATTTAAAAATGGTTGGTCACTGGCTGGTGATCAATATCATATATATATTAGGTCCTTCTTAGTGCAGATCAAATCCTACTTTAGGTGACTCAATATCACATGCACTATGTTGAGATAAGATGGTGATTGGAAGTAGTCAATAGGAAACTGTGAATCTAGGTGTACCTTTAATCTTGATGAGAACTAATACTCACTGATGGATCCAATCCTATATCACCTAGCTTCACAGTCAAAGGTATTACCATTGAGCTATCCTTTCCATGATTGACCTTCTGGTGATCATCACCCAATGATCAATCAATTGTAAATACATGGTGATCATTAGTCACCTTAAGATTACAGATTACACTTTGTTGATTAATGTTAAATAGCATAAAACCTAGGTTCAGAGTTTCTTGTTGACTAACTTCAATCATCATCTATTCAGATTGAAACTTATCCATTAATTAGAATATGTATTTACCGAATGAACTGTATACGATTATCTAACTAACAATAAACATATACAAAGTTATAATTAGATTTAATGTTTATCAATTGTTTCTATGTATCAACCATATTCTATTCATGTATAAATTCACCCGATAATTCATAACTATAAGCATACAATTAAGGAATTAGTTTATATTATCCATTAAATAAACAATGTTATGGATCAAAATGACATTGACCTGAAACTGTTTATAATCATATTTGTTGTTATGGATCAGGTCAGTAAAACCAATCAGTTTAACATGATTAAACAATTAAAGGAGGGGGGCGGCATGAAATATGTATGTATATATACCATGATATTGATTAAGCGGCCGGGTGGGGTGGAGTGCGGTGGGGGAAAGAATGAACTCTACAATACAGTAAATTAGTGTTTATTGACGATTATTGTGTTCTTAATCTTATGATTATAATTAATTGTATAATGAGAAATGTTTTCATTAAGATACTTAGTAGATCGAAGGGAATTATTTTTAGTTAATTTTCTATTGTTCATTTAAATAGATAAATATTGGTAGAAAGGGGGTACCAATTACATATACACAATACAAGTCGCTTGATTTGTGTGTGGGATGTGATACTGCCTGGTTACCCAAACCGAAGCAGGTAGTTATTTTTTTTGGGGGGGGTCAGACCTGGAGCATTTGACCTAATGGTCTGATTTACAGAGCAGTGGAGCGATATAAGAAGATTCAGTCACATAGTAGACGGTGACAAATAATCGTTTCATATACCATTTGTTCCTTCAAAATACTTGAGCTCATGTATACCATTGGATTGAAATGAGTGTTTTCCAACTCCCCTATATGGATCGTTCGTATCCACCAACCCGGTTAGAGTGCCGGACATTCGCTTTTCTTACTCTCAATTTCGTAAACAACACCCGCTTGGCGAGAAGTCAGTTAATGAAACTTCGCCGACGGTGGCTGTATACACGCGGCCATATGAGAACATTTCGATAGAGACATAGCATTTGGGGTCCAATCGACTAGTGGTGTAACATAATAATCGGATAACTGTAGAATGATTATAAAATAACGTCATGGCACGCTGATTAACTACTTCCTAAACAATCAATGCTACCGGATACTTGGAGAAGACTCTAGAATCTTCTTTTGTAAAACCTATAAATATACTAACATTGTTCTTATTGTGCTTCTTACTTCCATCTACCCTTGTTATTCGGAATATAATGATGTTCCTGTTCAATCGTGTTCTGATATGGGGACTTGTCGTGTGAATTAGTGTCCAAGAATACCAAATATGTATATTAGGGTCGTATTAAAAGAGATCATAACATTATCTACTAATAAGTAGTATATATTTGTTGATAAAAGAAACTACTCCATTTTTGGTGATCTATTGTCTATTCATAAAAGATTAATCATAGAGAAACTGTATAATTATCATATTCTCTGAATATGAAAGTAAATGATGAATTATCAACTTATTATTTAAGTAAAATATATGTAATTTCAATCGCTGAGATTATGAACTGATTGATATTAGATCACCATGAAAACCTGAAAGCACTGGATGGCCATTTCGACGTGGATGCGTACTACTGAGGAGTCCCGCTATAAAACGAAACAGCCGTCCAGTGCTTTCAAGTTTTTCATGGTGGTCTAGCTTCAACTAACTCATGATCTTGACCATTGAAATTAAAAACATATGCACCAGATAGTTTGATTTAATTGCCTGATATTCATGAGTTCAGGTTTCGAGCAAATTATCATCTATTATGAAGGTATATCTGATATAAACTTACTTGGTATTGTTTACTTGAATCATCGGATTGTTGTTTAGCACTGCAATCGATCGGTTTTTTTTTATTGGTATATGTGCATCCTGTGCGTATTTCCTTAATACGTAAGCATTATATGCAAAAATCGATAGTGGCTAGTAGCGGTATCCCGGAAGCATGCTTCATTCTATTTGGAACTCTTCAGATGGATATACCTGAATCTCAGAGTTGATATTCACTCTGCAATTTAAACTCAGTATCATTCAGTTCAAATACCTTTACATTATTCACTATCCAAACTAAGTAGCTAAGTGGATAATGCGATATTGTTTGAAACGAACAATACTAAATTCGAGTCCTAGATTGAATATTAACTATGAGATGTAGACATTTGCAGCTGACGAATGCTAATAACGAAACAATCTATATAAGATGAACATATGTCAACAAATGACTGATCTATTACAATTCTACACAACAATAGAAAGATACATAGAAACAATATCAAGTGTAATTTACATCTAAATATTGTTGTTCATATATCATAATTATAGTTTCTATTGTTTATTTAAAAAAACAAAACAACCCTCATTTATCAAAATTTAAGTTTCATTGGTTACATTGTATTATTTCATATAAACCAATAACTAAGTTAGTACTTAAGTGAATTGTATTCAATTGACCTAATATATATATATATATATAACCTTAAACTATTGAATATAATTGACTTGGTAACTATTTTGAAATAAGGAAAGTATAATTTTATTGTTTAAAACAAGGTTGGTTTATTTGTATTTTATGTAATCATATTACTTACTTACTTACTTACTCACTTACTTACTTACTTACTTACTTACTTACTTACTCACTTACTTACTTACTTACTTACTTACTTACTTACTTACTTACTTACTTACTTACTTACTTACTTACTTACTTACTTACTTACTTACTTACTTACTTACTTACTTACTTACTTACTTACTTACTTACTTACTTACTTACTTACTTACTTACTTACTTACTTACTTACTTACTTACTTACTTACTTACTTACTTACTTACTTACTTACTTACTTACTTACGTACTTACTTATATACGCATATTACCTTTCATGGAAGAGTATAAGCTATTGATCAGTTTTCGTTATGCAACTTTGTTCTGGATAATTCATTCCAGTTGTTATTTATCCATTTCATGTTTACTTCTGATTCTTGATGAAGTGTGTTCTTTAGTTCTACAGTTTTTTTTTTTATAATTTCTATTCAAGATTCTAAATTAGGGTTTATCTCATGAATTAGTTTAATGATTTCCATAATGTATATTCTATCCATTTTCAATGTTTTATCCTAATTTCTTCTTCAGCGGGAAGTTAGTTTGTTTTTATCCACAGTAGGCTGTTACTGATGATATTTGGTCAATGGATATTGAATATCTTACGTAGACAATTTTTTTATTATAAATACTTGAACCTTTTTGATGACGACTATAGTAGTGCACTAAGTTTCAGCTCTATATAGTAGAACTATTTTGTTCTTGTTGTTGTTCATATATTGAATGAGTGTTAGGTCTTGGAGTGTAGTTTTTATTAAAGATTTTACTTCACACCCTAATGCTTATATAATATTTCGGCTATTCAGTTAGTGTAATAAGTGGTGCTAATTTGAAAAGATTAAAGCTTATTGTTTACTTAAATCTACAATTGATGTTTAGGATTGTAATTGATCAGTCTCTCATATTGACAATATGTGCATCCTGTACGCATTGACTCAATTTCACCTTTAATCACAAGTATTCCAAGAAAAGGTGGATATTGGTTGGCGATGGAATTCACGCGTTTCGTCCTATTTGGGACTCGTTAACTATAACCATAAAATAATTGTGAATAAATCAATTAGCGTATAATCAAATTTTCAATGAAATTACATCCCATAATCCAGCAATTAATCAAGAAATCAACGAAAAAACTGGGTGAAAGATTTAAGTATAACCCACTTGTTAGAAACTGAAAATATTCCAGCTAACATTAAATTATTGACTAGTTTTGATACTTTATGTTTTAGTGGTCTAAAGGTTAAGCGTTTGTGTACGAGACCGAAGTTCCTGGGTTCGGGATAGGGAATACATACTACTGAGGAGTTCAACAATAGAATAAAACAACCGTTCAGTTCTTTTAGGTTTTTCATGATGGTCTAGCTTTAATGAACTCATAATCTCAACTTTTGAAATAACAATGATATCTACAAAAATTCTTTCTGATACATTGAATTTAATAGTTTACTTCATTCAACTTATAGACCGCCATACTATGAATTTCTTACATCATAGTGTCCATAAATTGTTATATGACTGAACACGGAGAGCGCAGTGATCTTTACTCTTAAACGTAAATTCATTTTCACAAACCATCTTGGTTAAAAATTATCAAAAATTTCCAATATAATTTACTAATTTATTGAATGTTCAAAGTTCAATTCAAGTTTATTTTCATGCAATGTCAAATTGGTCATTGGTTTAGATTTATTTTCATTATAATAGTTAATATATAAGACAAACAAACATATATTAATTAGGTAGACATTGGTCAATATGATGAGGATAAAGATATGTGAAATGTATAATCATTTACTGACAAGATGGATATATCCTGAAGATCATGATAGAGTAGATCTGTATTCTCATTATTTCACAAGAGTTTCATTGAAAATCTGTTAACAATTGATAAAACAATACACCATCTCTTTGCAGAAAATAGAGTTTCATATGTTGATGTTAATATTAATAGTTTCAAGATTATGTCAGAACGATTTAGTATTCATTGTCACAGATTGATCTAGGTGAATCCGATGAATAAGTTTAAGTGTTATATAGTCCGCTTATGTATATTCTGAATGTTTTTGATTAGTGGTCGTTATTTATAGAAGACATGTCAAGGTTGTACTTGTCCAAGTAGTACTTGAAAGATGATTTCAAACAACTACTAGTTTATGGTGGAAATGACAAGTAAAACCAAATGATATTAAGTATAAACTATTTATTAGACTGGGTAAGTTGATTGATGAGATTGTAAAACTTGACTAACTCGAATGGTCTCTAACATATCTGTTAGTTAATGTGGTTATCTAGGTTACGTAACTTTATCAAACTAACATGAAATCAGTCAGTGATTTAATCCATGAAATTCTATTTTAGTGAACATAAACATCAGTGAAAAACAAGCGAATATATTTAAATACAAAATTACAGAACGTCTGTAATTCATTTGAAAAATGTCAATCAATCGTCATAAGCTTTATTGTTCCTTGGTTTTCACACCAAACATTCTTTGATCTCGTTTGCATTTCTTTGATCTTCTTAACCTTCTGCTTCCAAACATTTCACTTTCGATTAATGATATATACTACTTATATTTGTTGATATCAGTAGCACACAACACACTACAATCTTCAAAAAATTTCCTACGTTAATATGACTCAATTATTATCACAATTTGATTTGACTTTAAATGAACTAAGTGTTTGTTTCACCTTTCAGATATTTAATCAGAATACAATCATCAACACATTGAAATCTTAGTTTATTAACCTTAACCGACATTATGAATAACAATATTCTTATTACAACCACGTTTATCATTCTTTCACTTCACGTTTCAAACGCTGCTCACATGAATACAAGTCTAACAGCTTCGTTTAGTATTGGCTTAGGAATAACAACATTTGATGTAATTAAACAACTGATAATAACGTCTATGACTCAATCCAATAAACCGACTGGTCCATTGTTATTTAATTTTACGGATCCACAAAATACACTTAGTAAATGGATTGAAGTATCTGATACAGTTCGAGTTGAAGGACGATCTAAAGCTACACTTGTACAACATATTGGTTTTGTAAGTTTCATTGAAATCTAATTAAATCGGAAAATATATATTAGAATTATCGATCAGCAATCTTCTTCTATCTACTTAATCCACAACCAAGTGGTGCTTGTTTTGCTGGTGTCGACTATATATTAGATGCTTGGAATTTGTCAGAATATACAGGTGTTGAAATTGATCTACATAGACAAGGTCAAAATTCTAATTTTAAATTGATCTTCTATGGAAACTGTTCAGAAATATTCACTTGTCAATCATATGAGTCGTTTTTCGAGGTAATTTGATATTCAATTGTATAAATTCATTCAATGTGTTTTCTATGAAATCTTTATAGACATCTGGAGAACGACAACAAATAAAATTACCATTTAGTACATTCAAACCATACTTTCGTGGAGAACCAAAATTTGATTTACCACCTTTAGATATAACTCAACTATCGAGATTCGGTATACAATCATATGGTGGTATCTTTGCGTCGACAAGACAATCTGGTCCAGGTTCTATTGAAATATTCACTATTTCAGCATATAAGGAAGGTCAAATGGTAGCTTAAAGAAACCAGGCTTATAGAAATTTAAGACTAGGTGATATGTAGTAATTAATGATACTATGATTGTGATTAGTTTGTATTAGGTAGTTTTATCAATAAATATCATATACTGACCAACGAGTTTTGGATGTTTTCATGGGTTTCTTGGAATTCACATGAACCTTATTGAAGATCAACGGTGATGTTAGTCAGCTGGTTGATTAAAAAAGTATTTAAATAGTTGAGGATATGTTCTGCCTATCCCAAAATTGAGATTATCCATTCAATAGTTTACACAGATTAGTCAGTATTTACTGGATTATCAAACTAGATGACGAATTTGAAGTATGATATAACTGTAAAACTGTCTTAAATCTGTTGTTGGATTTAGAATAAACTAGTAAGACAGGCAAAATGAAACCGAAGATTTGGGTTAATGATTTGTATGCAATGATGGACTATGAACAACAAAAAATAAGTAATGTATTACATGAACCTCAGTTCATGAGGGGCTTAAGGCGATTACGCTCATCAAGTTATGGTCAAAAAATAGCTGAGGAATCCCGTGCTAGAACGAGAAGACTGTGCAGTGCTTCTATGTTTTTCATGGTATTCTAGCTTTAATTGACTGATGATCTCATCCATTGAAATCGCTATAATATCCACAAAACCCCTTCTGAGGTTCCTATGATAGTTATTTACCAATTATTTACAAGAAAAATGAACTGAGTAACAGAGAATGTGTGTAGGAGCTGGTACTGTAGTGAATAAGAACGCGAGTGCGGACGATTGAATGCATTTTATCACAAAATTACAGAACACCTCACTAAAATCTGAGAACCATGCAGCAAATAATTTGTTTGCAAAATATCAATCGATTGTCTCAAACTTGACTGTTCCGTTTGCAAATATCGGTCAATCATCCTACATTTAATTGTACAAGCATTTCCATACCTATTGTTCTCCATTCCCGTTCTTTCTAGTACGATCTTCCAATGAAATACATAATGTGTCTGACCATCGTTATATTCTACTTATATGGATATAAGTAGCTCACACCGCAGTACTATGTCAAGCCTCATTCATTGTATGTCCTTTTTCAACAGTAAAAGGATCTACTATCCATATCCATGAATTTTTAGCACATTTAATTTCTAAGTTTCAACCATGTTTGCAGTGTCAGGAATTTACATACATATTTCATTTTTTTAGTGAGTTAATACCATAAAAGGACGATTTTCATAGAGAACTTCATTCTAAGCTCTAGCTTTAAATCTTGTTTTCCAATCAGTATGTGAAGGTACATACCCGATTTGTACCCGAATATTTGGATTATAAGTGCTTGTGTGTGCATATGTAATATTCAGATTATAGCTTTCATAACATAAAAAGGATGAATACAAAATATAAAGAACTGGAAAGGATTGTCTAGGGCAGAGTTGAGATGCTCATATGCAGCCTATGCTCCTCCATGAAGGGTAATAGACGTGCGTAAGTAAGTAAGTGATGTTTGCGTTATCAAGTATTTTCGTACATATTTAAGTTCATTTAGTGGATAAAAACGAACCTCATCCTAAGCCCTAACTATCAATTTATTTGCTTTTACAACCCGTAAGTTGGAATGTTATACAGTGTTGTGCCTAAAGAAAACGTAGACAAATAGCTTTTGACGACTGAAATGATATATGTACAGTACTTATAGTGGACCAGACAATATAATACTCCAAAAGATAATAACAGAGTTATTAATACAAATAATAATATTTATATATATAAGTCAAATGTTATAAACACAATAGAAATAAGGAACGTTACTTAGTTCACCAGGAGAGTGCGTGTATTAAATATCCACAATAATAGATGGTTAATAATTCCAGTTAGTTTAATGGATTCCCCAATGATATGATCCAGCGATATATATATGGTATATTCCAATTACAGTCTGTAAAGGTAAATGGTATTTGATTCAGACTTCGGTCAACACAAATGCGAGTGAATGTAGAACGGGAAGTATGTGCGAAGTAGTGTGTTTGGTAACAACCACAATAGTGTCACGCTATGTTAGTATCACAACGGAAATAGTGTTCAAGGTCATACACTTAAACAACAGGTACAATCATTTAATGATAAATGTACATGCAGTGGGAAATTAACAGAATAAATACAAATAACATCAAAACCTATTTACAAAATAAACTTGTCCGGCATATCTTCACATACTCGTACACTAAATGAACGGAAAAATTTTCGGTGATACCGGGTATCACACCTATGCAAGCCTGGTCAGTGGTTTAATGATTAAGCGCTCGCAAGAGAGACTAGTAGGTCCTAGGTTCGAATCTCGTCAGGCGGGATCGTGGGTGTGCACTGCTGGGGAGTTTCGCAATAGGACGAAACGGTAGTTCAATGCTTCCGCGTTTTTCATGGTGATATAGCTTTATTTAACTTATGGTTTCAACTAATAAGATTATTATACGTTTATTGAATATAGGACAAAAAAATGGTTCATTTCACATGTACTAAAATGGATCTAAGAAATTCAATCTATTTGTGATTTCAGTAGTATCCTTTTGAAATTTTAACTGTTCATCATATTTACTTACGGATTTAATGAACAGTTGTTGTGTATATACTTGACTCGTACCCCAGGTGTGCATGTGTAATATTCAGATCATAATTCTCATCACATCTTGTGAATAGCATAATATTCATTACAGCTATTTCCCTATCTTGGATATTCATCTTTAAAGACATGCAAAGAACGAGAAAAGATGATGACTATCTATAATTTGATTCCGTATAGGTCACTCAGCAACCGGTTTGACAAAAGAGTTTCACTAAAAATTGTAGGAACAACTTGACAAACCTATACTGATTAACGGAATACTTTTTTAAAAATTTTAGTAACTATGTGAATCATCCCATGATACATATACAGTGGTGGATTTCAACCAAGCACAGTTGAAATACAGAAAATGTAAACATTGAAATGGTAGCTTCCTAAACACAGTAACTTAGTGCATAAAGTATTAGAATTTACAGCGTTGGGCATTTGGCAAGAGTCCTAGTGAAAGTCAAATACTCGAATGAAGGAACACTTAACTGATGCTTGTCACACAACACAAAACGCGAATAATAACTTCAAAGTTACCAAGATAAAAACTATAATAAATAAGTCCAATAATTGAGATTATTAGTCATTCGAAGATAAATCACTACAGAAAACCTGGAAGCACCGGGCGACCGCTTCGTCTCATTGCGGGACTCCTCAACAGTGCGCATCCACGACCCTGTCTCGAGGGATTCGAACCCAGGACTATCAGTCTCGCGAGCGGGCAATTAACCACTAGACTACTGACCTCAACTATCAAAATTACCACAATCTTCACGAAACCCCTTCTTATAATAAATAAGAGTGAAGATTTTGTAATAAAATGCCTATATCATAGTGATATCGTGAGCCAATCAAAAGTAGCCTAACGGGAAGGTAATAATCAGAAATGATCTGAAGGACAAGTGGATTTTATTGGTCAAGAGATGCGTTCACACACGAGATCGACAAGTCCTAGGTTCAAATAACTGAAGGCGGGACCGTGAGTGCGCTCTGCTGAGGAGTTCCGCAATTGAACGAAAGAGCTATCCAGCGCCTCCAGGTTTTCAATGGTGGTCTAACATCAATTGGCTCATGATCTCAATTAAAATCTCAGTAATTTCGATAACACCTATACTGATAATTACCATGTGATCACTAATGACTAGGTTCGTGAGATAATTCTTGGAGTTCTAGTGAGAAACCGTGACGAGTGGAACTAATCTGTGGCGGGTGGAAACAGATATCTACCTTAATACAATGGAAGATGGTCACTCAAATTCGTGGATTGGTTGGGGTTAGACATTAATATCATTGGATGCCGGCTCAGTGGTCCAGTAGGTTAAGCGTTTGCGCGCGATACTGAAGGCCGTAGGTTCTTTTATGGATACGCGCTGTTGCGGAGTTCCAAAGTGGGACGAAATGGCCGTACGGTACCCCAAAGTTTTCCATAGCGGTCTAGCCGCAATCAAACCATGAACTCAACTATTAAATTACTATAATATCCACCTAAACGCCTTCTGATAATAAAACAAAAATAATTAAATAAAAATAAGAAAGAACACATTTGAAACATACCACTAAAGGGAATCAAGAATAATAGAGAATGAGAAGTTGCACGAATCGTTTTCGCACTGAAAGTTCGAGCTTCAGTTGGTGGGTTTTCAATGCCTCAGCAGTGCAAAAGATATTGATTTGATTTTTTCTCAATTTAATTCCTTTGACTGAGTAGATTACTTTAAAACTTGTCTAGAGCAATGCATCCACAGTTGATCAAATGCTTCTGTAATATACTAGTAATTGTTGTGCATCCTCTTTTTAAAAGCCATGCCACATAGTGCTCTGAGATGCGTTTGGAAAGTGATCGATTTTCAATTACATCAATCTCTCCCACTCTCTTTCACTCCATGTTGATCAGATTTATTCTGATCATTATTCATATTCAAATTAACCAAGCATACTGTTGAATATCCGATTAAAAGTCTAAAAATTAGACGCTCTCCATAAAATCTGAGAGTTGAATGCCCAAACATTGATGAGACCTTCGATGCACACCACTGTGTAGTTAAATGATTGGACACAATAGAAGTCAAACGCATTCTATTTTTGAATGAACGTTTAACTCAGATCAATCTGTAATGCAGTGTATAAGAAAATGAAATGTGCTGTCCTCAATATTTTTTAATTAGGTCACAAGTTAATATTACTTTATCTAAAAACTAATCATTGATCTACATGTGAGTGCCTGTGTCTCTGGTAACCTCATGTTAGTTATATTCCATTGCGATTAATGTCTCACACGTCCACTGTATGTAATCAGCTGATCCTTGTATTCCACTCTCAACAGACATTATATATCTGATCACATTCGTGATATGTTGATTGGATGAAACTCATAATCTCATAGTAGAAGAAAAGTATAAAAGCAAGCGAGTATATAATCGGTTGTAGAGACTGGATACTGTATTCTGAAGGTAATTCATTCAAATGTTCATTATTGTATTAGTGTTTTAATAGGCTTTTGAAATTTACATCTAAACCATG